AAAAAAAAAAAAAAAGATAAAAAGTAATTTCTTCACATAAATTTTATTTGGTTAATGCGGGGTTGTGAATTTTACAGCCTTTAAAGATTAGCAATGCTCATTTTTTAATGCCTTTAATCAAAAAAAGTTCTCCAGGCAAGTTATTGGCTCGGCTTTGGTGCCTTCCACGGAGATTTTATAGTTCTGGCACATGGCCCTCAAGTCGGTTAATCGTAACTAGTTCTAATCCACCATTGGGTTACTTTCTGTTTGGGTCGTTCCTTCACTACTAATATCAATTGGTGGTGTATGGGTTTATTCTAAAAAGTTCATTTTACTTATTATTTCTTTTTCTTTACTTATATCAAGGTAAAAAACTGGCTTGTTCTTCGACGGGTGCTGGACACAATGTTGAGCAAGCACAAAGAAATAGAAGATCATCTAGTTACTCCGATATGAATTCCCCGAATTCAGGTCATGGACAAGTCCAGTGACCTATTGTCATGTGGAGAGTCCAGTGACTCACAATAATGTACCGCCTTGTGACTTCATTGTTAAATATCCTATCGGATAATTCCGGGAAATAAGGTCTCCATCGGGTGATACCGAATTATTTATTCGCTTTAATTACACCAACTATAATTTAAGTATCCTTAATTTTAAATGCTAAAGTCAGTATATTAAATATTAAATCTTATATTTTGCCTGAAACGGTTGCTGAGCACATTGATGAAAATGAGGAGACTAAAAGTATATGTTAAATTAGATAATATCAGTAATTTAAGTGAGGTGCGAAAAAATTCGAAAGCAATAGTATAATAAAAATGACAAATTGCATTAATTTTACAAAAAAAAGTGCTTTAATTTATATTGATATTGAAAAGGAATTTAAATTAGTAGAAATATAGATAAAAATAAGATTTATCTAAAGAAGAACTCTCATCCAAGTTGGCATGAATTGGAAAAGAAATTTAAGTTGGGGTATGGACGTAAATATGATGAAGATAAAGACAAAGCAGCCGATATGAAAGCTTACAACATTGAAAATTGTGAATTTAAAGTTTTTGAACGAGACAATATATATGATGCCATCAAGACGATTTCATCCAATGATGAATTGGTTCGAAACAAAAGGTTATTTTTAAAAGCACATGCAGAACAACATCAATTGTAAAATTCGATTTTTCAATAGAATCCGAAGATATTCCACAAAAAAATTCCGAAAAGTTATTT